TGCAGTGAGCCAAGATCACGCCACTGCACTCCAGCCTGGGAGACAGTGCGAGACTCTGTCTCAAAACAAAAACAAAAACAAAAACAAAAAACAAAAACAAAAACAAAAAACATTTCAGAGATCTAACCAGGCATATCTGTGACCCAGAATCAACTTAAGAGCCATTGTTTGAGACCCCCGTCTTGAGATGAAAGCCAGTGGGAGTGATGTTTGAGATGAGATGGAGGAGGGAAGTGAGGGAGTGAGTGGAGTTCTGGGGCCCCGGGGAGAGGTCAGCGTTCACAGTTCAGAGAATGAGAGGTCAGGGGTGAGGGGCCAACCTTGTGGTTCCTCCCATGCTTGTCCAGGAGGGAGATGATAGACTTGATGTGATTCTCCTGGATGATGTTCAGAACCTCTGGACTCTCAATGAGGACACAGTACAGGACCTCCAGGATGCCTGCCAGGGTGCCCAGAATGAGAGGTGAAGCGGCCATGGTCATCCTCTCCCACAAGCCTCTGTCCCACTCCCTGGGGTTCTCCTACCAGATGAGGCCTCCAGCCGATCCAGCTTGCTGACCAGCCAGTCCAAGTTTGTGGAGAAGAGGGCACAGTTGCTACGATTGCCACGGATCAGAGAAGCTGAGGGGGGAAAAGGTGTCAGATCCAATAGGACTGGGGATTTGGGGTGTTCTCGGGGGAGTCAGGACTGGGACCCCCTACCCAGGAGTTCATAAAGAAGATTCACAATCTCTTTCCAGGACTCGGCTGCCTCCTCCCCTGCAAACTCGGCAAAGTGGGCAGCGGTGGTGTAGACATTTAGGCGGTCAATGCAATTCAGGACCAGGGAGAGCATCCCCTAGGATGAGGAAAATAAGAAGAGTCACAATAGGAGACCCAGTCCCTGCCTTCCTTGTCTGTCTTGGATTCACTAATTCATATTCCATCAACAACTAGTGACGGCGTGTTCCCAGATCTAAACCAGCCCCTTTGGTTTCATATTCCCAATCAGTCCCCTCGCTCTCCTCTCTTCCTTGGCCCCCCATACCTGTTCTTGTCCTCTCTGACTCTATCCCCAACATGAGATTCAGTCCATGATAATTCAGTCCCTATTAACACCAGGACTGAGTTTATGCTTCCCCTTCCTGCACTTTTCTCTCCATCCTACTCACTTCCAGGAACCCCACTCCTGGTCCTAATTGACCCAGTTCACTCTCCACACCAACCATCAGAAAGATTTTTCTCACTTTATCTTTTCTTTCTTTTTTTTTTTATATTTTAATCTTTTTTCTTATTTTATTGTGAATCATAATATACATACAGAAAAGTACATAAAACATATACAATCAATTCTTGTTATTCATAGTTATGTTCTATAAAGTCATTACGAACACTGAATTATCAAATACTGAACCACTGCTTCTAGGGGAAATACAGGGAGTCCCTGTGAGTCTGTGACAGCATTTTCATCAACCACTTATTACGTAACCTTGTTTTGAATGTTTCTGTTTAAAGACAGTTATTTAGTATACATGGTTGAGTCATTAACATTAAATTCACAGCCAATAGTACTATCACTCGTGCCTTAAGTAAGCTTATCTAACATATATTTTCTCAGTAAGGCACATCACAGCTTTCTTGCGCTTAGGAAAGCTAGACAGCACTTCAGCACTACACTTGGGAGACATTATAAACACTGAAATCAACGAAAAGGACAAAACTGTCTGGGTGCAGTGGCTCACGCCTGTAATCCTAGCTCTTTGGGAGGCTGAGGCGGGCGCATCACCTGAGGTCAGGAGTTGGAGACGAGCCTGGCCAACGTGGTGAAACCCCATCTCTACTAAAAATACAAAAATTAGCCAGGCGTGGTGGCTCACACCTGTAGTTTCAGCTACTCGGGAGGCTGAGGCAGGAGAATCATTTGAACCTGGGAGGTGGAGGTTGCAGTGAGCCAAGATCACAGCACTGCACTCCAGCCTGGGTGACAGAGAGAGACTCTGTCTCAAAAAACAAAACAAAACAAAACAATTGTTGTGTCTGCATCCTGGGGCCCAGATCGGTAGTGAGAGGAGCAGTGCCTCAAAGTGGAGAACACAACCAAAGTGGCATCACACTGACCGGCTCTGCCACTAACTAGCTGTGACTGTAGAGGACCAAAACCTCCTGTAGCTCCCAAAGCCAAAGTCCTCACCAAGGCCTGGCCCTCGTCACCTCTCTGCCCTCATCTCCTCCCACTCCCCCACCCAAGCCTCCCTGCTCCTATCACCACCTGACTGTGGAACATGCCAAACACGCTCCCACCTCGTGGCCTTTACACATGGCTTCCTCTCTTCCTCCAGGTCACCCTGCCTGACGGCTCTGTCTTAAACTGCAAACCCCAACACTCCCTACCCCTTACCTGCTGAATTTTTCTCTTTAGCAGTTATTACCATCTAATATGCCATATAATTTACTTATTTATTTTATTGATCTCCTGTCTCTCCCTGCTGTGTCAACTCCATAAGGACAGAGATTTTTTTTCTGTTTTGTTCACAGCTGGCCTCCTCTCCCTAATGCCCAAAGATCTATTTCTGGCCCCTCATCTCCCATACCCCACCCTGGTTCTGTCCGCCCACCCCGCAGACCCCGCGCCAGCAGACCCCGCCCGCTGAGTCGGCATCCCTACCTCTGACCTCTGGCCCCACCCCTGGCCTCACCTCCCCGGGCCTCACCCTATCCCTGAGCTTCACTCAGGCCCCGCCCCTCACCTCTTTTGTTCCATCCTTCTCTCCAGGCCCCGCCCCCTTTTCGGCCATACGCCCTGTCCCTTCCCACAGGTCGTGCCCACTAGCGCAGCAGGCCCGCCCCTCCCCAAGGCACTGCCACCTCGTGTTCTCACTGGCTGGGGTTCCTGTCCGGCTCCTCCTCCTGCCCCGCCCCCTTCTCAGACCCTACTTCCCCAGGTCCCTCAGGCCCTGCCCCGCCAAGTGCCGTGGCCCCGCCCCTCAGTGGCCCCACCCCCAGTGGTCCCGCCCCTCAGTGGTCCCGCCCCTCAGTGGTCCCGCCCACTGGGCCCATAGGCCGCGCTCCGCCCTCGTCACATCCTCACCTCCTCCTGGAAGAGACTCTGGCGGTTGCGCAGGCTTCGCAGCTTGCTCTGCTTCTCCTCATGCTGCAAGTCCTCGGAGGGCGGCTCGAAGTAGATGATGAGGTCCTGCAGGCTCAGGATAACGCCCTCGATGGGCAGCGCCGTGCCAGCCGGCGGCCCCGAGCCCCGTGGCTTCCCGCTGAAGCTGTCCAGGCTCCTACAGGGACCTCGCAGCTGTCAGCCAGGGCCGGGAGCGCTAACTGCCGCAACCTCACTCCCGCAAGACTCCCCCAGACCCACCCGTTTTACAGAGGGGGAGACTGAGACGGAGAGGGAAAAGCATTGGTCCAAGGTCACACAATGGCCAAGGGCAGAGCTGGGACTGGGACTCGACTCTGTGTAGGTAGAGGGAGGTCCCGGAACTCAGGGATGGAGAGGTCCAGGGTCCAGGCTTTGGGTGTCAGGGGTGTGAAAGTTGGGTGATGATCAGGAATGTGATCATGGTTGTCAAGGTCAGATTACGGGTCAAGTGTACAGAGGTCAGGAGTTTAGAGGTAAGGGGTCATGTGTATGTTATTGTTATTAATTTTTGAGAAGGGTCTCACTCTGTCGTTGAAGCTGGAGTATAGTGGCTCACTGCAGCCTCTGCCCCCCTGGCTCAAGCAATCCTCCCTCCTCAGCCTCCCATGTAGCTGGGACTACAGGCACGTGCCACCACACCTGGCAAATTTTTTGTAATTTCTTTATAGAGACAGGGTTTCACTATGTTGCTCAGGCTGGTCTTGAATTCCTGGGCTCAAGCGATCTGCCCGCCCCAGCCTCTCAAAGTGCTAGGATTACAGGCGTGAGCCACTGCGCCCAGC